CCCCCGCCTCTCTCCCCCTGCTGCGGCCCGGCTGAGCGCGCTACACTCAGCCGAGTCGCCACGGAGGGAGGGGAAGGGGGCAGGGCGGTGATTTACATGGCCAGGGGGCAGGGCTATGTACGTCACCTCCCTCTCTTCCCCTCCCACTGTGGTGCTCAGCTGAGTGCTGTGCCCCTTAGCCGGGCCACCGCAGGGGAGCCAGCAGCGCAAGGGGCCATTTGGCCTCTCCCGCGGTGGGAGGGGAAGGGGGGGTAGGGCAATGACGTACACGGCCCTGCCTCCTGGCCGTGTACGTCACCGCCCCACCCTGCTCCCTCACGGCGGCCTGGCTGAGCAGGCAGCACTCAGCTGAGTGCCACGGCAGGAGGGGGAGGGGAAGGGGAAGGGGAAGGGAAAGGGAGGGAGGGGGAGAGACAGAGGGGAGAGAGAGGCAGGAGGAGGAGGAGAAGAGAAAGGGAGAGTGAGAAGCAGGAGGGGGAGAAGAGAAAGAAAGAGACAGAGAGAGAGGCAGAAGGCGAGAGAGGCAGGAGGTGGAGGAGGGCTGAGACAGAGAGGGGGAGGCAGTAGGAGAGGAGAGAGAGAGACGGCGCAAGAGACCAGAGGCTCAGGAGAAAAGACCAAGGTGGAGGAGAGACCTGAAAATTCCGTCTTATGACGGGCTAATTGGCTAGTACACATATAATTCTTAGTGTGATCAGTGTCATTTGTGAGGATGTGCTAGAGGGAACTTCAGCTTACCTTGAGAGCACAGTTTTAAAAGGTGGTGAACCGAAACCTTGGCTCCAAACATTGGAATGATTGAAATCTGGATCTAGATTGTTTTCACCTGGCCACATTGACACTTTGAAGCAGGGGTGCTGGAGCAATTTGTATGTGTGTGTGCGCGTGTGTTGAGAACCATTGAATCAAATTATAAACCCACATACAATGGAAACCACTCCAAGTTAGGTACTTTGAAGCAGCTATTCATTGAAGAGAGTTCCTTCAGATTCTCCATGCTGGGGAGGACTGGTAGGGAGTAGATATAAAAGCTGGGGAAAACAGGGATCTTTGGATCTACTGTGGAATTACAGGGATTTCCTATGGGAGCAAGAGAGATTCCTTACTATGTACTTAGAGAAAAGACCAATTGGTCTTTTAGGTTTGATTCTGAGGGCAATATCCCCTTCTTGTCCAGGAGGCAGAACATTAGCATTCTCATCTATGATCTAGAAGAAGAAAAACATACTTCAGTAAAACAAATAACTTAGGACATGTCTACACTAGGAAATAATTTCAAAATAACTAAATTTGACTTAAAAAACTCCTGATTTTACAAAATCAAAATAATGTGTTCCCACTATGGGGAAGCCTCAAAATTAGTTTGAGACAGGTTCTGTTAATGTGGATGCGCTACCTCGACTTAGAGCCCCAGGAAGCACTGGGGAGTTGTTAGTTCGAATTACTGTGGGGCAGTATTTCTCAACCAGTGGTACAAGTATCCTTGGGGTGCTCGAGAGAAGTCTGGGGGGTATGTCAACACAACTGAAATTTGGAGAAAACTGATCTTTTGTTTTAAGATTTACAGCCTTTTATTATTTTTGTACTTTTTACACCAAAACATTTCATTGCCTGCCCATCTATGATTAAGTTATTTAAACAGTGTGCTGCAATTTTTTGTGTGTCTGAAAACTGTAGGTACTGGGGGTACTTATAATTTTTTTTTGAAAAAGAGATACTTTATAAAAAAAAAGGTTGAGAAACACTGCTCTGGGGAATAGTTATTTTGAAATAGCGGCACTAGAGCATCCACATTAACACTGTTTCAAAATAACTATTTCAAAATTAGCGTTATTCCCTCAAAGAAAGCAGGAGTACAGATTTTGAAATAAGTGGCCCCTCATTTTGAAATAACGGGCTTGGTAGTTGCGGAAGCTCTGCTTATAAATTTGATCTAAGGGGAGGTTTTTCGTAATAATGCCCTACTGTAGATCAGGGCTTAAACTGCTATAAGACAGGAAGTTGAATTAACAAACCTGGACATCATATAAGGGAACTGCCTTTCCCATTGATCCGGGTTTAATCTTCATCCCTTTGAAAACTGAACAAATTATTCCCTGAAAAAAGAGAGCTTTATTTCTGCAAAAATATTATATGTATTCAACCAAGTTCTACATTTATTAATTTTCTACTTCAATTCCAAACAGTTATGAATTAAGGTTTGCAAAAACTCTGTGGCCTAAGGAATTATTTTATAGATTGGGACAGTGGAGTAACTTGCATGAGCTCACACAGCAAGTCTGTGAAACAACCTGTAAAAGAGTCCAGGTATCTTGACACCTCCCTCCCCCAAGCCTGTATTTCAGCAATAACATCCTCTTTCTTCCTTCTCACTTTATTTAGAATGCTATGGAAAAACGAATGCTCAAAAAATCCCACCTTTCCCCTGAGCTGTACAAGACAGCCAGGTTTTCAAATCAACATCGGTTTATAAGTTACTTTATTTTAATGGACTCTTCCTTAAAATTTCAAGTAAGTAACAAATTGTTTCCTTTTGGCTTTTTTAACCAAAAATTCAAAAAGGCAAAAGAAATTAAAAGCAATGAACACATGATTAGCCCATTTGAACGTACTGTTTCTGTCTGTCCATATATTTCACGGATAGTCAGGCCAGTCTTCCTTTTCCATTGCTCAGTCACTTCCGGGTTAAGTGGTTCCCCTCCACTCAAGCATTGCTGTAGACTCATGAACTTGTAACTTAATAAAAATTTTAAAAAAAAGTGTCACTGAAAGCTACTGTGGGAAAAGGGGCCAGTTGGTAGACCCCAGTGGTCACTGGTGATAAGCACAGCAGCTAAAGGGGTAGAAAATGTCTACAAACACTAATGGAAAGCCCTTAGTTGAAATATGAGGAGGAGATTTTAGCTCCTTATTCTGCAAGGACATATGACTGTGATAAACGTTGCACAGTAGTTCCACTGAAATCAATGGGATTTTAGTACATGATTAAAGTGAAGTAAGGGCTGTATGGACTAGAGATGGGATTATTTGCATGCTTACAATAAGTCATATAGGTCCAGATCCTCAGTATTAAGATGCTTAAACCTCACTGAAATCAATGGGACTTTGGCCAGGTCTACCTCAGATACTCATCCTGGTATATGCCCTCCCATTGGCATAGCAGCATCTTCACTAAAGCTCTCCAGTGGCATAGCAAGCAATAATACAGCTGTTTAGACAGGCACCTAAATACCTTTGAGCATCTGGACCACAGTGCTTTGTCAATGGGGCTCTGCCCTCTGGGCCTATTGAGCCTCACCCATATCTACAGCCACATTCAGAAGAGATGTATACTACACATAAGTCAGTGCGAGTGTCAGCTGGTTTGCAAGGCAAAGGGTTGGTAGGAATGGGCTACGGGCCAGATTTTTAAAGGTACTTCAGCAACCAAAGAGGCAGATAGGTGTCCAAATCAATTATACTTAGATGACACTGTCATTATAATAGCACTGCTCAGCTGACGCCTATCTCCTTAAGCACCTACATCCCTTTAAGCACCTGCTTTCCTACTCATTGGCACCAAAGAGTCGGCATCCTGAGCACTGCTGCTACCCCATAGCAAATGGCCATAGCTTGGAAACCTAGGGCTCCTACCTAGGAACAGTCTCCCCTAGAAGTACATCTGCACAGTTGCATCCATTGCTTTCCCGTACCGACATGGAGTCCCTGAGGGTATGTCTACACTAGCTTGTTAGTTCTAGCTAGGTAGGCAAATAAGGGCAACCGGAGTTGCAAATGAAGCCCGTGATTTAAATATCCTGGGCTTCATTTGCAAGTTCCCAGGCACTGCCATTTTAAAATCCCCCTTAGTCCAAACTCCGTGCCCGCAGCTACACGCAGCAAGGAGTAGGTAGTTTGAATTAGAGATCCTAATTCGAACTACCGTTACTCCTCGTGCAACTCCGGTTGCCCTCATTTGCCTACCTAGCTCGAACTAATGAACTAGTGTAGACATACCCGGAGTGCCTACTTGACATTTTATACTAGGCAGGGACATACCTATAGCAGTGCCTGGGCCAGTCACCTATCATAGAATGCAATATGTAAAATGTATATTTTAGGTGTAGTTTCATGTGAAAACATGCCTGCATGTCTGGTAAGGAAAGAGAACAGCTGCAGAAAAAGTAGAACCAACAATCCGATCAGGTTAAACAACTGTATTAGCAAATTAATCCTAGAGCTAGATGGAAAGAGTCATTATCTACTTATCCACTTATTAGAGAGTTTGTCAGTCTGTTTGATCAAGAAAGCCTCCTAAACAATAAAAGCTAGGACCACCAAATTCGGTAGAAAGTTTCTTCTTGTTATAACTTAAAGCAATATAAAGGTTTGCTTGTGCCAGGAAAACTGGATGTGCCTGGAATAGGAGTACTTCCCATAAAATCAAACCAGATGTGAAAGTAACTTAATTTCTTACAGGTTCTGTTGTATCGCATCCCACCTCACGGAAAGAGGTGGGAGGGAATTGTGTTATGACAGTACCTGTAAGAAATTTAAGTGTAGGATGGAGTATGGGAGGCTCAGGGCAGGAGTTTTTGGTTGGTGTGGATGGACTCAGGGCAGGGGATGGAAGTTTGGGGGTGCAGTAGTCAGGCCAGGGGCTTGAGGATGTGGGGGCTTCAGGGAAGGGGTAGGGTGTGCTTAGGACAGCAGGAGTCAGAGTTGTTGTGTATGAGGAGGGCTCAAGGCAGGGGCTGGGATATGTGTGGGTACAGAGAGTGCAAGGGGACAAGGGCGCTATTTAGGGAGGATGGGGGGCTCAGGCTCCCTACCCAATATTCGTATAAGGAGGCTGCTTGCTATTCCCTTTCATAACTCTCAAGGGCTGTGTCTAGATAATACCTCTCTGTCGACAGAGAGCTGTAGATTAGGCACGTCGAAATTGCTAATGAAGCAGGGATTTAAATATCCCCCGCTTCTTTAGCATAAACATGGCTGCCGCTGTTTTTCAAAACGGAGCTTTTTGGAAAAAAACCTCTGCAGTCTAGACGCAGATCTGTTGAAATTAAACCCTTTTTGATAGAACCAGTAAACCTCATTTTTTGAGGAATACAGGATCTGTCGAAAAAGCATTTATTTTTGACAGATCCGTGTCTAGGCTGCTGGGTTTTTTTCAAAAAAGCTCCATTTCGAAAAAAAAGCAGCGGCCATGTTCATGCTAATGAAGTGTGGGATATTTAAATCCCTGCTTCATTAGCAATTTCAACGTGCTTTATTTGCATCCCTCTGTCGACAGAGGGATGCAGTCTAGACGTAGCCAAGGAGTGAAAGTGAAGCTCACTCCTTCCTCTGCCTGCTCTCCAGCCTTTCCCAGCCAGGAGAGAGAGGAATGCACACACGCTATACGCTTTGCTCTCGCACCCCGAGGGGAAGGGGAACAGCAAACAACATGGATAAATGAATCTCAGGGGCTGGAGGGCTTCTGCCCCTACTTTTCCTAAATAGCATCCTGGAAGGGAGCACAGGGCAGGAGCAGGCCCAGACTGGTGAAGGGGTCCAGCCCCAGTCAGCCCCTTTAACCTGCTTGCCTACAGGTTAACAGAAATCCCTGTGAGCCCAGCTGGGTCATGCCACGCCTCCTCCTGCAGCTAAGTGCCCCAGCCGGCCAGTTTCTTCTTGCTGGAGTGGCGTGCTCGGGAGCAGTGGCTTACTTTCACCTCTAAACCAAACAGAAACAAGACAGAATCACTAAAGCAAGTACAGTCCTCCAAACTGACGTAATAGAGCAAATGTTGAAAGACACTGAACCAAGATGAGTCAGAAAAATAGGATGAACCTGGAATAGGATTGCTTCTCAATAAACGTTACAGAAAAGAGATAAAATAGAGAAATTGGTAGTATTGTTCTGTCTTGGCATAGCTAAATCAACGCGTAAGACAGGGGTGGGATCCAGCCTGCCAAGTGGGTTGATCTGGCCCACGGCCACCCTACTGATCCCCCACTGCTAAGCCAATCGAGACCTGGGGAAGAGGGAGCATATGAAGTCTCTTTCCCCCATCCTGCAAGGGGTGCATGGCACCAGGGGGAACAGCCAGCTGTTCAGAACAGCTGGTGGTTCACTCTAGGTACTGTGCACCCGTTGCAGGGCAGGGGCAGGGGCAGGGGCAGGGGGCAAAGACTTCACATGCTTCCCTGCCTCTAGGTTCTAATTGACCTGGGGGCAGGGGACGTGCATGAAGTCTCCTCTTGCCACCAGCGGTGTGCGGCACCTAGAGGGAACCAGCAGCTGTTCAAAACAGCTAGCAGTTCTCTCTAGACCACAGGGGGCCAGGGGCAAAGACTTCACGTGGTCCCCCAATCCCAAGCCAATTAAAATCTGTGGATGGGGCAGCACAAGAAGTATCTTGCCCCACCCCTTCTATCTGATGTCCTACCCCTTCTGGGGCAGCCCGGGGCTTCTTGAGAAATTTGTGAAGTGGCCCTCCCCCTTAAAAATTATTGCCCATCCCTAGGGTTGCCAGGTGTCCGGTTTTGAACTGGTCAGTCCAGTATTTGAGCTTTCTGTTCGGGAAACAAATTGAGAAAATATAAATGTCCGGTGTTTTCTAAATAAGATGTAATGTAGATTGTGATGTAAGGTCAAGTGTGTCCAATATTTTTGTTGAAACCATCCGGCAACCCTACCCACCCCTAGCATAAGGTTTGAAAACTAAAAGAAAATGTTACTGGAAACCAAATTGACTGTAGTCCTTTTTCTTAAAACATAGTAAATGATAAGACTTTATAGGCATGAAAAAACAAAATACACTTGATGGAAATCCCAAATTATGGACCCAAGTATTGTCAGATAAATTTGCTAGTACAATATATAATGAATAACATTGTAAGAGTATATGCTTACATTTAACCAGGCAACACCTAGCCAAACTTGGGTCAAGCTTAACCTAGCACCTGCCTCTGACCACATTTGACAGACAAAGGGGTCTGAAGCAGGCAAGGAAGAATATGTACAGAAAAGAATAGATTTACAGGGCGAGCAACATGAGGTGAAAGGACAGAGGGTGGAGAGCATCTACGGAGCAGGGTACATCCTATTCAGCAGCATATGGTACTGTGAGTGCTGAGGGGGGCCTCCAGAGGGAGAGGAGTGCAACTTTTTCCTCTTATCCAGCATTGCACTGAATAGTGGACATGCCCTTGTACAATGTAATGGCTTTGACAGTCAAAGGTGGTGACTGATTGTACAGTGATTATTTCAGATACAGAGGCTGGCCAATCTTTCATCACTTTCAAGGTCACCTTGCATGCTTGAAATACCTAGTTAGGCAGAACACTAGTCCATTATCCCAGCTTTCTAAACATCCCATATATAGGTGCTTACAATGCCTCTATGCAGAGAAGACAGTGACAGGTACCTACTTGCCATCTACCCCAGTTCTAATAACTCCTAAATACCTTTATAAATCTGGCCCGATAGCAGGAAAGGCAAACCAGTGGAGTGTAAGAAAGTGTCAGATAAAATTGGTGGGGGTGACGAGTGGGAGATAGGGTTCTCATTACAGCAGGTCCCATTCACACACAATAACATCCACGTACCACTATTCAAAACACGTAGCTGAAGTATGAAAAATAAAATCCTTTGATAACAGAAAGCTCTGGTAGAGAATTTTGCTAATAATCAGCAGTTCATTACAAAAGAATACTCATGAGTGCTTCCACCTCATGATCAAACAAGGCACGTGCAGAAGGTCATCTTTGGAGGGTTGTATTCCCAGCCCTGAAGTCATGGCACTAGCTACTGTTTCTGACCACTGTATAAAACTTGACCCACCAGCTCAATCTACTTATGTTTTCAGAAAATCCCCCATCACCATGGAATCTGAGCCCTTTTAAATGGGTTCACGAGAACACTGTTTTGGGGTTTGATCAACTTGGCTTCATACCTTTTGGCATCACCTAATAAACCATCTTGTTAGTCATTAAAGTGCTGCATAGTCCTTCATTTTGTTTCAGCAAGATCAGACTAACAGGGCTACATCTCTATTTCTAAACTACAGAGTTTTTTTTTTTTAAAGTGGCCTTTTTTTGAAAAAATTTCACCTGCATCAAGACTGATGTTGTGATCTTTCAAAATTAAATCGAAAGGACGCAGTGGTTTTTTCAACAGCAGTAAACCTCATTTTACAAGGAAGAATGCCTTTTTTCAAGAGCTCTTTTGAAAAAAGGTGTTCTTGAACACAAACAGGGCTTTTTCGAAAGAGAGCATCCAGAATGCCTTTCTCTTTTTCGAAACAGTTGTAGCTGTCTAGACAATCTCTTTCAAAAGAGGCTTGTAGTCTAGACGTACCCAAAATTTGAGCTTTGCTAAAAATGTCAGCTTTGAGTGACCTCTACACTGTGGAGGGAAACAGTTGAAAATGCTGTTTCCTCCACATTTCATAGAGAAATTATGCAGACCTTCTGAACTTCTCATGAAGATGTTGTATATATTGATGAAACTCAATACATTGTGCCAAACACCTAAAGCTATGATTTAATTAAAATCTATTCAGATAAGTATTGCTAATAAGTCATCTGCTGCAGTACCTGTTAAGGTCTTGGTAAGGTACCTCCACCAGCATGCGAAACAAAGTCGGAGCAGCAAACATAGCGGTGATGGGAAATCTGGAGAGAGTCTAATGAATTAAAACAAGATGAAAAACATTTGTATGTGAACTGCAGAAAAGATTACACTGTCCAGGGCTACACTGTAGCAGAGAATAGACCTGTGGTACACAACTCCAGCTATGTGAATAACATAGATGGAGTAGACATACCTTAAGTTGAGTTACCACAGAGTCTACACCATGGGGATCAGTGGAGAACCTCTTTTCTTGACTTCCCTTACTCTTCTAATCCAGGGTAGAATAACAGGTTTGACAAGAGAGCTATCTGTGGTTGCCTTGGTAAGTCTTCATTAGGGATGTCAACATGAAGACAACTACACGATTAACCATTTAACCTAGCTACATGACTACACGATTAACTGATAAGCCAAGGAGAGGGGGGAGCTGGATCTGCCTGCCCCATGATCCTTGCACTGTTGCCTCTGATAGAAAGACAGTAGCAAGGAGGGTGAGGGGGGCAGGCAGGAGCTGATATGTGTGCGGAGCTGGCTTTGAAGCCAACTGTCTGCGCATGCCAGCTCTGCAGACTCGCCTGCCCCCCCCCCCGCCACTTCTACAGAGGCAGTGGAGGAGGGCAGACAGGAGCTGATGCTGGGGGGAGTTGGCTTAAAAATTGACTCCTCCCAGCATCGGATCTGTGGAGCCATCTGCCCCACCCCCCATGCTGCTGCCTCTGAAATGAGGAGGGAGGAAGAAGCCTCTGTTCACGGCAGGCCCGGGCAGAAGCTGGGAACTCATCCTGCACTGCTGCCACCATGTGCTGGTGCCTCTCTATCAGAGGCAGCAGTGCAGGATGGCAGGTGGGAGCTGGTCTGTTCAGGGAGCTAGTTTTTAAACTGGGTCCCCTTGCAGACTGGGTCTGGCTTGCAATACAGAGGCAGCAGTGCAGGGTGGCAGGTGGCTCCCTGGGAATGGGGCCGGGAGTGCACTGGCTGGCGGCCCCACCTCTGGAGACTATCGAATAGTCATGTCACTGCTAAAATGTGATGAGGTTACACAACTATTCAGTTATATGCTGTCTAACATCCCTAGTCTTCACTACTAAATCAGCAGCTGGTGGATTGATCTCAGATAGACAATTTGGGCTGTAGTGTAAATTTAGCCTAGGGGAGTATGGGAGAGTATAGGGCAGAGCTTTCCCCCTTTCTCTTCTAAATGCAGAGAGGAAGTCCACTCCCCTAGTCTCGCCCTCCTTAGCCAGTTTTTCTGTTTCAATCTACATCAATCACTGGTATTATCAAATACTATTTCTGCATCAACTATACTAACATTCTAGCTCTCTTTGGGGTATCCACTTATAGATTTTGAGTGTTACTTTACATTCATATTCTGGAAATCTGGAAATAAAGAGTGACGGGATTAGAGTTAGTTGGGATTTTTTCATCTAATCCTTACTTTGTCAATAATACTGATTTGTTTAAGCTGAACCTGATTATGAAACAGGGTCAAATTTGTTGCATTTTCAGACAAATAAAAAAAGTTGAGAAAAGGTTAAAATTTCAACAAAACTTTTTGATTGACTTGAAGTGAAAAAAGTATTCAACAAATGCAGCAAATTGCATTACCTAGTAGGAGTGCTCAGTTAATCAAAGATTGTTTCAGGTTTACTTTGTGTATGGGGAAACTTCAATAAATCTGCAGGATGACTTTTTTCTTACATTTAGGATAACTGTTGATTCAGCCCGTGGAAGGTTGTGTACAAAGACACCTGATCCGAAAACCCATGGATCAAGAACAGACCCCATGGAAGCCACTATCCAGCCTGTATCTGATAAGCACCACATTATGTCTTCAGGAGTCAAATCCAGCCAGTATCTTATATGACAGAGAAAACAGTGGTTATGGAAAAGCTTTTTTTAAATAGACAATGAAGTTAGAAATCAAGAACTTTAATTCGTTGTGTACACACTGAGCATTAACAAGGGTATTGCCTCATGATGAGCTTGTGGGCCCCATTCTCTTTCGCAGGAATCACCCATGTGGGAGAACAGGGGAGGGGAGATTCTGAATTTAATCAGGATGAAATTCCTTTTATTCTTACATTGTTATGTGGCAGGGAAGTGGGGTGGGAGAGGAAGAAGCAGGGGATTCAATGGAGGAGATTGGGAAGTCCACTCTTTCAATTCATGGATCTCAGTGGTTGTGTTGGTGTCAAAGGTGACCTGTGTCATAGAGTTCCCTTGCCTTCGCACAGCTGTCCAATCCCAAGATGCTCTGTATCTACAGGAACCAGGAGTGGCCCATGAGTATAGGCCGACTCAGCCATCGCCTAGGGCGCCGCCTTCAATAGGATGCCCGGGGCACCCCATGATGACATCACGTCATTGACGGCCGTGTAGGCGGGGGCGCCAATCGCGCATTCCGCCTGGGGCACCAGCTGCTGCAGCCAGCCTCGGGCCGCCCCTGACAGAAACTGTAATTCTAGAGTCATCTCCAGTTGCAGGTTGTCATTTAAATCCCTTTCAAGAAACTCTGGGAGTCATTCCTTAATTCATCATGGAAAGATGAGCTCTGAGGCTGCTTCCCTTGTAGATAGTGGGAGTTTTGCCAGTGACATCAAAAGGGAGCAGGATTGAAGCCACACATTGCATATTTCTTACCCAATGCTTCCTAATCAGACGTTTGGTGTATCTCAGATATCTTGGTCAATCAGATCCATGCTTTCAACTTCACACTAAGTTTGGCCCCCTGTTATAAAATTACCAGAGCTACAGTCCTTACCTTTCACTTATGACAGGTCTGAGACCAAGGCTGCCCTGAGTGTGTTCAGCCATCTTTGGAGAACCTGTGGTTCCACTGGTAAAGTAGATAACCATTGGGTCTTGAATCTTTGTTTTAACACAGATATGATCTGCAGGTTGTGATCTTTAAAATACGGAATATAAAGGTGGCTAAATTGGATACAGATGCAATCTACTGAAGCTTTGACATACAAATGTGGATTAGGTGTTGCAACTGCCCTCTTTCCCATCCCAGGTGAAACTCCTCCTGTGACCTTTGGCTATTACTGACTTTCCTTCAGATAGCTTGCCTTACTCTAGTCTCATTTTTCATCCATCATTAAATCCGAAATAATGGAAAAGTTAGCAAAACATCAGCATAGTAGATTCTTCTTAAAGAAGAAAGAGAAGGAAACACCAGGGAAGCTTCATGTAGGATATATTAGTGGGGAAAATCAAGAAGGGAGATATGGATACCATATCATCACTTGCAGTTCAATGGATCTCAGAAAACTGAGAATTGAAGAAATGGGGTATAAATTGGGTAGCCACCCATAGGAGAATACATTCAGAAAAAGAGAGATCAGAATGTGACCTAAACTGAATCTAAAAAATGGATTAGCTTGAAAGAAAATGTCATGTTTGTGTGTTTTTTCCTGGGTCTACGTAGAAGCAGAAATTCCAAGCTACCATTAGAAATGTTACTGGCATGACCTAGCTGACCAGGCTAGAATTTGGAAGCACAGAAATACTGCAAGAAAATCTGCTTTGAGTCATCCAGTCTAGGTTTCAAAAGGAAGAAATTTGGAAATGTCTACATGAGTACCAAGGACCACAATAGACACATTTGAGCAAATGAGACAAAAATAACATGTTCTAATTCCTGCCCTTATTTCATGTGCATAATGTCTATTTAGTAAGGATAGGATGGGACCCACCTGAGAAGAGACTGCTATTAGACACCAACTCTGATTTGGGAATATCAGCGAGCAGTTGTAAAAAACTCCATTAATGCCTATCTCTGGGTCTAATGGACAGAAGGTATTTTTGAGAAAAACTCATTTTCTATCCTATTATTATAGCACTGCTAAAGAATACGCACTTGTATAGTTCATTAAAGTTCAGCCACCCATCTCTTCGGCCTTCAGATACAATTAATTTAGTTTTCAGAAACTGGCAATGAGATGCAACTGAGTCCACTGCGGATGCCACTGTATCACTGGCAATGATGCATTTGGCCTTAGAAGCCTGCAGTCTATACAAGATATCTTTAGCTGTTAATTGGGATGTCCCTTGAATAAGGGCGATTCCTGGAAGAGCAATAAGGTTGTTTTTAAGAGAACATTTCAAATTATATCATTTTCTGTCTCGGAACAGACTCAAAGTATTATTCCTCAACTTACAAGAAGAATGAATTTGGATCAACAGTTGTAGGCAAATGTGTATAGTAGTTCATTAATTTATATAATTTTCTTCTTTAGCATAACAAAATTCTATTCTTAACATATTTCTGCTATCAAGTTCAGCAATCTCATACTGACCTGTTCGCATACAAGCCACATTCACAAGCCACCATTCTGGTATCTTGGGTAAAATTAGCATAATTCTGTCTCCCTTCTGCAGCCCACATATTTCAGAGAGGACATTGGCCACTTTTTTGGAGTGAAATCCCAGCTCCTCAAAGCTCCACCTCACCTCATTTCCTTCTCCACTTACCCACCAGAAGGCTGGGTTTGATGGTCTCTTTCCATCCTACAAAACAGCACAAGGGGTTAAAAGGAAAAAGATCATTCTAAATCAAACTGGTGATGTGCATCTATGGAGGAGTTTGTTACAGATCTGTACATTCCATGGTGTGCACACTGGAGATCATCCAAAGCTCATTAAAGTCAATGGAAAAAAGCTCTTGTTGACCTCACATGGCTGTAGATTGGCCCTGATTATTGCTAGTAATCTTTTACTTCTTTTGAACACTAGGAATTTAACAGATCAACAGTTCCTAGTTTGTTGGCTAATCTGGACTTTCACCTGAAGTTTCTAATGCTCAGCATTAACCTTTACATGGTATATCAGATGATATGAAATGATTCACTTATTATGCCTCATTGTCTGGGCACAGAGTCAGGGGAATCAATAGCGTGATGGGTAACAGAGACAAGATGAAATGTAATGACTTGAGAATGCTGAGGACCAGGTCTGTCTCCTACATGATGGACTCAGAACAAAAGGACATAATGAAGCTGATTGTTGGTTAGGACTTCCCCCATGATGATCTGTGCAGCATTAGAGTCTATTTTGGAGATCGGTGTGCCTTGGGAAAAGATTTTCACTTCAGTGAAGAGAGAGGTCACTTTGTATTGCATATTTGACTTAATTGGTCACATTGCCATACCTAGGCAAGGAGTCCCTGTAGGACGTCAGTGGGAAAGAAGTTAACAAGGTTTGAAGGAACTCAGTCCTTCTAATGATAAAGCAAGAGAAGCTAATTTCCAATGTAAATTATTTTCAGAAACTGATTTTCCTTTTAAATAAATGACAAATAGGGTTATTAAAAATAACATTTTTAATCTGCCCAGTGACAGAAATATTACCTTTTCCAGTTGAGACCACTTGTCTAGCACATCACTTGCAAAGTTAAAATATTCAGGGACTTGCAATTCATCCTGTCTAGCAGACTTGTCATGCGAAAACAGCTGTGAAGCAAGGAGCCGGGGCTGTTTATGGAAAAGCCTACACCTTGATTTGGGAAGCCACAAGGATTTGAGAATCTGTAACTTAAGCAAAGTCTTCATGGCAGCAGAGGAGTTATCAGGTTGTTTTGGACCATGGAAGAAAATATGTGAAATAGTTGTGGATCCTGAAACAAAACAAAACCAAAACCAACAGGTCATCCTAAAAATTGCATGACAAACAAGCAAAGACAGAGGGTCTAATTCTGATTTAGTGAATTAATCATTACAAATAGTTTTTAATAAGCATGCCCAATCTGTTGTTTATAATTGACTGTTGGTAATATGGATCACACTATTTTAAAAAAACCCATAATAAGTGGGGTGCCTCAAGGGTCTGTTTTGTGACTGGATCTGCTCAATATCTTCACCAATGATTCAGATATCGGCATAGAGAGTACACTTATCAAGTTTACAGATGATATCAAGCTTGGAGGGGTTGCAACTGCTTTGGAGAATAGGATCATAATTCAAAATGACTCGGACAAATTGGAGAAATGGTCTGAGGTAAACAGGATGAAGCTTAATAAGGACAAATGCAAAGTGCCCCTCTTAGGAAGGAACAATCCAGTTCAACACATATAGAATGGGAAGTGACTGTCTAGGAAGGAGTACGGCAGAAAGGGATCTAGGGGTTATAGTGGACCACAAGCTAAATATGAGTCTATAGTGTGACGCTGTTGCAAAAAAAGCCAACATGATTCTAGGATGCATTAACAGGTGTGTTGTGAGCAAGACATGAAAAGTCATTCTTCCGCTCTACTCTGTGCTGAGTTAGGCCTCAATTGGAGTACTGTGTCCAGTTTTGGGCGCCACATTTCAAGAAAGATGTGGAGAAATTGGAGAAAGTCCAGAGAAGAGCAACAAAAATTATTAAAGCTCTCGAGAACATGACCTATGAAGGAAGACTGAAAGAATTGGGCTTGTTTAGTTTGGAAAAGAGAAGTCTGAGGAGGGACATGATAGCAGTTTTCAGGTATCTAAAAGGGTGTCATGAGGAGGAGGGAGAAAACTTGTTTTTCCTGGCCTCTGAAGATAGAACAAGAAGCAATGGGCTTAAACTGCAGCAAGGGAGGTTTAGGTTGGACATTAGGAAAAAGTTCCTAACTGTCAGGGTGGTTAAACACTGGAATAAATTGCCCAGAGTGGTTGAGGAATCTCCATCTCTGGAGATATGTAAGAGTAGGTTAGATAAATGTCTAACAGAGATGGTCTAGACAGTACTGGATCCTGCCATGAGGGCAGAGGTCTGGACTCGATGACCTCTCAAAGTCCCTTACAGTCCTTGTATTATATGATTCTATGATTCATTTATTTATATCTTGCACCATCAAGTCCTTAAGAACTTATCCATCTGCAGCATTAATCTTGGATTTAATTTGCAGCTTCATATCTGGCTAGTTAGTGTTCTGAGGTACAAATCGCTCACAATTTTTATTGAAGTCAGCTAGTGTAATTTAACTCACCAATGTCCATATCCAAGGGTACGTCTAGACTACAGGCTTTTGTCGACAGAAGTTTTGTCGAAAGATACTGTCGACAAAGCTTCTGTCGACAAAGAGCGTCTAGACTACATCCAGTTCTGTCGACAAAGCAAGCTGCTTTGTCAACATGGCAGTGTAGACGCAAAGGACAGTTTAGATGCAATAATGCCTTCTGTTGACAGAACTCTGTCGACAAAAGGCATCATTCCTCGTAAAATGAGGTTTACCAGCATCGACAAAACTGCTGAGTTGTGTCGAAAGAACTCAGCAGTAGTGTAGACGCAGGTTTAGTTTTGTTGACAAAAGTCCACTTTTGTCGACAAAACCCTGTAGTCTAGACACACCCCAAGAGTGCCACTTTGTATTTCTAACTTTTGCTAAAACAACCCAGTACCTGATTTCCCTCACTTTCTTGTGTTTAGCATGTACTTAGCTGATTTTCCACAACAATCCTCACAGACTTTCCCTGTTCAATGTGCTAGAAGGCCTCCTCATCATCATATAGACCCCAATCCAGGAACACAAACAAGCATGTATGTAACATTAAGCATATATGTTGACTTCAGTGGGACTTTTTAGGTTCTTAAACTAAACACATGCTCCAACACTTGGCTAGATCAGGGCCACATTCCCCAGTTTGGTTCTCTGCTACAAGATAGGTCTACATTTGTCTTACATTGTACTCATCTCTATAGCGTCCGCGCAGGCAATGAGAGCACGAGAAGGTGCGTGCCCACTGCATCCCTTTTTCTGTCCTGTAAGAGGAGAGGGGGTGGATGAATGCCTTGTGAGATGTGGGCGTGGATAGGAACCCCAAAAAACACACATCGCAGTTTGCCAGACCAAGAAGCCACAGGAAGTATCACCCTCCAGGCACCTTCTCCAGAGTGCTCCCAGGGGCTCTAAGTCTGAGGCAGGCTCTGTTCAATGTGGATGTGCTAATTTGGACTAATTTCAAGGCTTCCTCATAGTGAGGACATGCTAGTTTGAATTTGTTACATTGAGAGTTCTTAAGTCAAATTTAGTAGTTTTGAAATAGTTTCCTTGTATAGCTATGGCCTTAGTGATTACTATTTAAAGGTAATAAGTTAGAATGTATTTCCTGTTAAACAAACTTAAAATTAACAGAGTCAGTCATATTGTTTACTGAATCTAAATCCTGATAATTAAAAGTGTGACATGATCAATCTGGTTTATACCCAGATTATCCTGTCAGTGGATAATCTATATATTTGAAAGAGTTTGTGCATTTATCTGCCTGTCCATCTGTCTGTCTGTGAGTCTTTTTGTTGAAGAACTACTCCTAGGCTGTATCTACGTTGGCACCCTTTTCCGGAAAAGGGATGCTAATGAGACAAGTCGGAATTGCAAGTGCCGCGGGGGATTTAAATATCCCCCACAGCATTTGCATGAACATGGCTGCCGCTTTTTTCCGGCTTGGGGCTTTGCCAGAGAAAAGCGCCAGTCTAGACGGGATCTTGCGGAAAATAAAGCCTTTTCCGGAAGATCCCTTATTCCTGATTTTAAGAGGAATAAGGGATCTTCCAGAAAAGGCGTTATTTTCCGAAAGATCCCGTCTAGACTGGCGCTTTTCTCCGGCAAAGCCCCGAGCCGGAAAAAAGTGGCAGCATGTTCATGCAAATGCCACGGGGATATTTAAATCCCCCACAGCATTTGCACGCCCGGAGCGGGAAAAAAGTGGCAGCCATGTTCATGAAAATGCCGCGGGGGATATTTAAATCCCCCGCGGCATTTGCAATTCCGACTTGTCTCATTAGCATCCCTTTTCCGGAAAAGGGTGCCAATGTAGACACAGCCCAAAATGGTAAGAGCTAGGACCACCAAATTTGCTATGCAGCTTCCTCTTATCATAACTTAAAGCAAGGTCAGGGGTTGGTTGTGCCAGGACAATGGGATGTGCATGGAGGGGGATATTTAAATCCCCCGCGGCATTTGCAATTCCGACTTGTCTCATTAGCATCCCTTTTCCGGAAAAGGGTGCCAATGTAGACACAGCCCAAAATGGTAAGAGCTAGGACCACCAAATTTGCTATGCAGCTTCCTCTTATCATAACTTAAAGCAAGGTCAGGGGTTGGTTGTGCCAGGACAATGGGATGTGCATGGAATGTGATTGTTTCTCGTCAAATGAAAAGGAAGGGCTGAGATAGCATGGACAATTACACTCCAGAATTACCACAGGAGGGCAGCAAGCAAGCATGCCCCCTATGCCCTGACAGACTTGGAGAGCTGCAAAACAGCTGCTGAGTGGGAAGTACAGCCTCCGCCCCCCTCTGGCCTGGGGAAGCAGCTGTTGCAGCTGGGCAGTGTGGTCCCTGCTGCCCCTGACCAGCCCTGGAAAGAAGCTGCCAGTCACTCACAAACACTCCTCTGAACCCCCCACCCCTGCCCAGACTCCTGCACCCTTCTCCTCCCCTGAATCCCCACATCTCCCAACCCCCTGCCCTCCCACCCAATGCCCTATCTTCTGCACTCCCCCTGCCCTCCATTTGATATTATGAAGGACCTGAATACTACCAAATAAATCTTCTAGTGATAAGTGCCAACACTCCGGTCATCTGAAGAAATGGGCTGTGCCCATGAAAGCTCATGATACCACCTACATATTTTGTTAGTCTTTAAAGTGCTACCGGGCTATTTGTTGTTTTTTAAGTTTTTCCTGTTACTCGGCTACCCCTCTGAAGCTTCTGTCACTATATAGTTCAGGTTGTACCAAGCTTCTCATTATTATGAACTTGGATTTTGATTCTTTCCCGACTTGTTTGACCCTCCCTCCTTAATACACTTTGGCTACGTCTACACTGGCCCCTTTTCCGAAAGGGGCATGCTAATTTTAAACTTCGTAATAGGGAAATCCACGGGGGATTTAAATATCCCCCACGGGATTTAAATAAAGATGTCCGCCGCTTTTTTCCGGCTTGTAGAAAAGCCGTAAAAGAGCATCTAGACTGGCCCGATCCTCCGGAATAAAGCCCTATTCCGGAGGATCTCTTATTCCTACTTTGAAGTAGGAATAAGAGATCCTCCGGAATAGGGCTTTATTCCGGAGGATCGGGCCAGTCTAGACGCTCTTTTACGGCTTTTCTACAAGCCGGAAAAAAGCAGGGGACATCTTTATTTAAATCCCGCGGGGGATATTTAAATCCCCCGCGGATTTCCCTATTACGAAGTTTAAAATTAGCATGCCCCTTTCGGAAAAGGGGCCAGTGTAGACGTAGCCTTTCATTTGAAGAGTTGTCAATAGGTAAACTGCAACCGGGTTTAAAATGATATTGCTGAAGAGATCCTAATGCTCAGACTCTGTAGTCCTTTCTCAGGTAATACATCCACTGAGCCCAGTGAGAAGGAAATGAAGCGGTAAGGTCTGAGAAGTGAGCAACTGTTTTGATTCATTTGGCCTTTTCTGTAATGAAATAGGACTAAATCATACTCACCTCATTTGTGAGACCAGCCCCATTGAAATGGAACCACACTCAGAAAGGAGCAGGATTTGTTTCTTTGAGAAAGAGGTTTAGGCTCCCAAGTGACTGATTGATAAGGAAGATTTGGTTCAGAGGTATTGAACCATCAAATATAAATTCAGATTGCAATGGGCCTGCTTTGTAGGAAATGAAGAGAGATGAGAAATCAATACAGTCCTTTCCAGAATTTAGATGAGATGAAGAATTTAAACTAAATCTAACATTTGCAATTGAAAGCATCCCTTATCCAGAGGTCTGGTTGCAATTTTTCAAACTAAGTTTTTTTTGCTGAAAAATGGACTTAATCCCACTCACCCCAAAAATGGACATTATTAAATTATCTGCTTTAAAAAAGTTAGTTTATTGAAGATCCAGTTTGCAGTTTAAACCCCCCCCCCAAAAACCCAGGTTTGAGTAAAATGAAAAATTTCTTTAACAGTTTCAGTGATAATTTCAATTAAAAAATGGAAAATTTCGCAAAAGATAAAAAATGGCTTCATTTTTTGCTCCCACAAAATCAATTTCGAAAATTGCAATGTTTTTCCAAGAATTTTTCTAGTTTTTGACTTGCTCATAGTGAATGGCAGCAGCTTCTTTCCATCTATTGATTTAAAAAAATTTCAACACTGTGTTGTAATGCTGAAAACTACACATGAAAACACTGAAGAGAATAGAAGATGCTAAGAAGCATTTGCTTTATTCTTTTAAAATAACATGTCAGAATGTTTGGGGAAAATTTTTCTAGATTGGAATTTCCCAGGTGAGCAAAAATCTCAGACACTTTCTCTATAAGAGAAATTACAGCAGATTCCAACACTTTCTCCAGTTCAATGACAGGAGAAAACGAACTCAAGAAATTAAATTTGTAAAAAAGAAAAATGTTACCCTATAGCATTGAGTCCTTTAAAGAGTTGTATAAATCAGTTCATTTTTTTTCCAGTGAATTTGCAGGCACAGACAAACCCAACACATTCTACTGACCTGTTCGCTGTGGTAAGTAACAAGCTGGACACTGGAGCACTCAGAAAACTGAAGAAGGAAAACCTTCTCCACTGGTTCTTTCAGCTTTCCGGGTATGTGTTCCCCTAGAAGAGGCACTCTAAATAATAGCTTTTGGTTGGATACAAGTACCATTCACAGAGCACACCAGCCTTCTCAATCAACAGTGTTTAGTCTGATGCCATGTTTATTTTTACAGTTCTCTTTTACTGAAGAGATGCAAACAGTGTATAATGCATAACAGAGTAGGCAATTTGATGCTCATCTTCTATATAAGGATAGTTATCTTGTAATCATTTACATTGCTGAAAAGTGTGTCTCATTTGTCCCTTAACCCAGAGTACTTTGCCTCTTCTGTTCTTTCCCCATTTAAAACTGCTATCTAATGATGTCAAAAAGACAAATAAAAACAGCAAGGCTTTAAAGCTTCCAAAATTGAATTTTTCACCCAGATTGTGATACAGCCATAAGTAGAGCTAACTGTGAATTTTTTGACTAAACACGTTTCCCTTGGAAAATGCTGATTCATCAAAACCCAGAACTGCTAGCATCTGTTTTGGCAAATTTCTTTTTTCAAAAAAATGGTAAAAAATAAAGGATTTGAAATGGTCAAAATGGGACATTTTAACATTTTTTGAAATGAAAAATTCAATTTTTTTTGTTTAAATGACTTTTTGAAATTTAAATTAACTTAGGAAAAAAAGGTCAAAATCAAAATGGAACATTCTGAAAATGTTGAAACAAAATGTTTCCACTGACCCAGACCCCTCACCCCCCAATAGGATTGTCTGTGATAATTTTTATATTTTGACTTTTTGTCCTGATTTGAGATGGGAAAATTCTTTGAAATCTTGAAAGCAAGTTTTTTCTCATCAAGTCCTTCCATACAGATTCCTATCTCCCTTTTGCATTCTAGAATCCTCCTTCTCTTTTGTCAGTCATACCCACTCTTCCTAAATGCCCTGATTCAAAGCCTTTTAAAACAATGAGGGCTCCTGGTCCTAAATAAATGATCCCTATTTTAAAACCTGGCAGGAACAATTATGTACCCTATAAGCAAGTGTATCTTCTCTTCTTTTTGTAGTTCATTGACCCATCCATGCTGTTTGCTGTTGTGTACTTTGTTCACAATATTAGACCAGACCAATAGAGAAAAGCGAAAACATGAGAAATATGATGGTGGAAGTCAAAGACAATTTGTTCTTGAATGTCCATGTGACACTAAGTTCTTCCCCACTCTTTGTTCCTTAATACCTTCCGTTGGATTTTCCCAGCAACTGTTTTTGGCAGCTCTTGAACAAACTCCACCTAATTGAGAAAAAAAAAATAGCAGACATGGGGATGCAGTTCCTTGTGAGGTCCTGGGGAGAACAAAACACCCCTAAATACATATGCTAAATAAACTACTGTCAAGCGGTTTAGGGTATTAGACTGCAAGGCTACGTCTACATTGGCCCCTTCTCCGGAAGAGGCATGTTAATTTCCAACTTCAGAATAGGGAAATCCGCGGGGGATTTAAATATCCCCCGCGGGATTTAAATAAACATGCCCGCCGCTTTTTTTCCGGCTTGGGGAAAAGAACTTGAAAGTTTGCAACATGAAAGTAGGAATAAGAGATCCTCCGGAAAAGGGCTTTATTCCGGAGGATCGCGCCAGTCTAGACACTTTTTTCCGGCTTTTCCCCAAGCCGGAAAAAAAGCGGCAGGCATGTTTATTTAAATCCCGCGGGGGATATTTAAATCCCCCGCGGATTTCCCTATTCTGAAGTTGGAAATTAACATGCCTCTTCCGGAGAAGGGGCCAATGTAGACGTAGCCTTGCAGTCTAATACCCTAAACCGCTTGACAGTAGTTTATTTAGCATATGTATTTAGGGGTGTTTTGTTCTCCCCAGGACCTCACAAGGAACTGCATCCCCATGTCTGCTATTTTTTTTTTCTCAATTAGGTGGAGTTTGTTCAAGAGCTGCCAAAAACAGTTGCTGGGAAAATCCAACGGAAGGTATTAAGGAACAAAGAGTGGGGAAGAACTTAGTGTCACATGGACATTCAAGAACAAATTGTCTTTGACTTCCACCATCATATTTCTCATGTTTTCGCTTTTCTCTATTGGTCTGGTCTAATATTGTGAACAAAGTACACAACAGCAAACAGCATGGATGGGTCAATGAACTACAAAAAGAAGAGAAGATACACTTGCTTATAGGGTACATAATTGTTCCTGCCAGGTTTTAAAATAGGGATCATTTATTTAGGACCAGGAGCCCTCATTGTTTTAAAAGGCTTTGAATCAGGGCATTTAGGAAGAGTGGGTATGACTGACAAAAGAGAAGGAGGATTCTAGAATGCAAAAGGGAGATAGGAATCTGTATGGAAGGACTTGATGAGAAAAAACTTGCTTTCAAGATTTCAAAGAATTTTCCCATCTCAAATCAGGACAAAAAGTCAAAATATAAAAATTATCACAGACAATCCTATTGGGGGGTGAGGGGTCTGGGTCAGTGGAAACATTTTGTTTCAACATTTTCAGAATGTTCCATTTTGATTTTGACCTTTTTTTCCTAAGTTAATTTAAATTTCAAAAAGTCATTTAAACAAAAAAAATTGAATTTTTCATTTCAAAAAATGTTAAAATGTCCCATTTTGACCATTTCAAATCCTTTATTTTTTACCATTTTTTTGAAAAAAGAAATTTGCCAAAACAGATGCTAGCAGTTCTGGGTTTTGATGAATCAGCATTTTCCAAGGGAAACGTGTTTAGTCAAAAAATTCACAGTTAGCTCTACTTATGGCTGTATCACAATCTGGGTGAAAAATTCAATTTTGGAAGCTTTAAAGCCTTGCTGTTTTTATTTGTCTTTTTGACATCATTAGATAGCAGTTTTAAATGGGGAAAGAACAGAAGAGGCAAAGTACTCTGGGTTAAGGGACAAATGAGACACACTTTTCAGCAATGTAAATGATTACAAGATAACTATCCTTATATAGAAGATGAGCATCAAATTGCCTACTCTGTTATGCATTATACACTGTTTGCATCTCTTCAGTAAAAGAGAACTGTAAAAATAAACATGGCATCAGACTAAACACTGTTGATTGAGAAGGCTGGTGTGCTCTGTGAATGGTACTTGTATCCAACCAAAAGCTATTATTTAGAGTGCCTCTTCTAGGGGAACACATACCCGGAAAGCTGAAAGAACCAGTGGAGAAGGTTTTCCTTCTTCAGTTTTCTGAGTGCTCCAGTGTCCAGCTTGTTACTTACCACAGCGAACAGGTCAGTAGAATGTGTTGGGTTTGTCTGTGCCTGCAAATTCACTGGAAAAAAAATGAACTGATTTATACAACTCTTTAAAGGACTCAATGCTATAGGGTAACATTTTTCTTTTTTACAAATTTAATTTCTTGAGTTCGTTTTCTCCTGTCATTGAACTGGAGAAAGTGTTGGAATCTGCTGTAATTTCTCTTATAGAGAAAGTGTCTGAGATTTTTGCTCACCTGGGAAATTCCAATCTAGAAAAATTTTCCCCAAACATTCTGACATGTTATTTTAAAAGAATAAAGCAAATGCTTCTTAGCATCTTCTATTCTCTTCAGTGTTTTCATGTGTAGTTTTCAGCATTACAACACAGTGTTGAAATTTTTTTAAATCAATAGATGGAAAGAAGCTGCTGCCATTCACTATGAGCAAGTCAAAAACTAGAAAAATTCTTGGAAAAACATTGCAATTTTCGAAATTGATTTTGTGGGAGCAAAAAATGAAGCCATTTTTTATCTTTTGCGAAATTTTCCATTTTTTAATTGAAATTATCACTGAAACTGTTAAAGAAATTTTTCATTTTACTCAAACCTGGGTTTTTGGGGGGGGGGTTTAAACTGCAAACTGGATCTTCAATAAACTAACTTTTTTAAAGCAGATAATTTAATAATGTCCATTTTTGGGGTGAGTGGGATTAAGTCCATTTTTCAGCAAAAAAAACTTAGTTTGAAAAATTGCAACCAGACCTCTGGATAAGGGATGCTTTCAATTGCAAATGTTAGATTTAGTTTAAATTCTTCATCTCATCTAAATTCTGGAAAGGACTGTATTGATTTCTCATCTCTCTTCATTTCCTACAAAGCAGGCCCATTGCAATCTGAATTTATATTTGATGGTTCAATACCTCTGAACCAAATCTTCCTTATCAATCAGTCACTTGGGAGCCTAAACCTCTTTCTCAAAGAAACAAATCCTGCTCCTTTCTGAGTGTGGTTCCATTTCAATGGGGCTGGTCTCACAAATGAGGTGAGTATGATTTAGTCCTATTTCATTACAGAAAAGGCCAAATGAATCAAAACAGTTGCTCACTTCTCAGACCTTACCGCTTCATTTCCTTCTCACTGGGCTCAGTGGATGTATTACCTGAGAAAGGACTACAGAGTCTGAGCATTAGGATCTCTTCAGCAATATCATTTTAAACCCGGTTGCAGTTTACCTATTGACAACTCTTCAAATGAAAGGCTACGTCTACACTGGCCCCTTTTCCGAAAGGGGCATGCTAATTTTAAACTTCGTAATAGGGAAATCCGCGGGGGATTTAAATATCCCCCGCGGGATTTAAATAAAGATGTCCCCTGCTTTTTTCCGGCTTGTAGAAAAGCCGTAAAAGAGCGTCTAGACTGGCCCGATCCTCCGGAATAAAGCCCTATTCCGGAGGATCTCTTATTCCTACTTCAAAGTAGGAATAAGA